ATGTGCTTTCCTCCTCCTTCTCTGTCCTCAGAAGCCAGTGCTGTGGTCTGCGGGCAACTCCCCATTGTTCTCCGGAGGTTACGGTCTGCGATTTGTGCCCAGAAGAACCACTCGGACACTTGGAAGGAATGATGGCCCTCACACAGCTCTTTGCGTAGCCCTGAGAGAAAGGAGGCTTGCTCCAAGGCTATCCGAGGGGCGATGAATGCTGGGAGTGGATTCCACTCTGGTCAGGACCCAAGGCACCCAGCCCTCCCCAAGACACTGTGTGAGCCAGGCCGAGCCTCCACACACAGCCCCTCCTGCCCCACCCTAGGCAGGGCAGGGCTTTTTCAGGAAAGACTTTAAATCCAGCTGCCAGATGCCTGGACAGAAGAGGCAGGGAGGACCAGCCACCATGCACAGCTCCCACCACCTCCTGCTGCTCCTGTGGCCGCCCCTGCTGCTGCTGGTGGCCACCTCAGACCCCACTGTCGCCCTCACCGAAGAAGAGAAAAGTTTCATGGTGGATGCTCACAACATGTACCGTACCCAGACCAACCCTCCAGCCGCCAACATGCTGAAGATGGTGAGTACAGCCTGCTGAGAAAGGAGGGGTGCTGGGCAGGGGCCCTCCTGTTCCCATCCACAGAGACTCATCCCTCTAGTCAGTGACAGACAGTCCCTGGCACTGGCTAATTCCCAGCCCCCTCCCTTCCATGTAGCCCCATTGCACAGAGGAGAAAAACTGAAGCTCATAGGGACTTGTCCAGAGTGACAGCTGGTAAAACAAGGCCCGGGGGGTCCACCCTTTCCCAGATCCCCTCAAAAATGCATGTGCCCCTGGGAGGAGAAGCACCGCAGATCCCTGTTGCCTGAAGTGGAGCCTGGCTTTCACAGGTTCTCTGAGGGTCTGAGCACCTGGGGCAGGAGGCAGGTGAGACCAGGAACCGGAAGCAGAGAGGGCACAGGGTCACACAGTTCACATTCTGTCTCAGTCACCTACAAGTCCTGGGGTTTCAGAAGAGACCCTGCATCTTGCCTGCATGTGAAATGGGCATTGGAATTAAAGCTCTATGTGTATCCACAGAGTAACTACCTGGTGGTCCACAGGGTCCATGCACTCAGCTGGTAAGTGAAAGACTGGGAAGTTGAGTCGACCCAGAGGTGACTTCGAAGAAAGGCCTGGCAGTCTATTTCCTAAAAACCAGCCATCAAAAACCCTTTGGAACACAGGTCTTCTCTGGCACATGTAGGGTTGGCATAGGTCAGAATCCACAGATGGTAATTATGAGTGTATGTGTGTTTGTGTGTGTATGTGTGTGTGTGTGTGTGTGCACATGGACTGGATGTCACACATATACTATTGAACAGAGAAAAATACACTCTCAAAAAATAAACCCAGTAAGGTGTATTCCCATGAAGTGTTAAAGCGTGAAAGAGGAGACACGTGTCAACAGGTACAGATGACAGAAGTCAGATTCCAGCCAGAGGTGACCTGTGTCAGGGAGAGAGAAGTAGTTCATGGGGGGTGGGGTAGGGGGGGTGACGGTGGGGTAGGTCTTCAACTACTCTAAACACCAGAAGCCAAACCACTGGCTGCCTCTCCATTCCGACTCATATCGGCCCTATCTCACCGAGTAGAACCACCCCAGAGGGCTTCCAAGGTTTTAAATCTTCACAGAAGCAGACTGCCACATCTTTCTCCTATGGAGCCACCGGGGAGTTCATACCCTTGACCTTTCATCTGGCAGCCAAGTGTGTAACCTCTGCTCCCACTCAACTGCATCAAGGCAAAAATCCAAACTCACTGCCACCGAGTCGGGGCCAACTCACAGCGACCCTTAGGACAGGGCAGAACTGCCCCAGAGAGTTTCCCAGATTGTCACTCTTTACGGGAGTAGAAAGCCCCATCTTTCTCCTGAGGATCTGCTGGTAGCTTTGAACTGCTGACCTTGAAGTTAGCAGCCTAACTCATAACCAGTGAGCTACCAGGACTTTATTTCTTCACGTGGATGGGATTCACAGATGTTTGTATCCAGGACTCAAGTTTGCTCCCTTCCTCACTTTCTATGGACTGGCCTGACCCATTCCCACCAGCCATTCCAGGTGACTTGGGAGATTAATGGGCAACATTGAGGGACCCTGTAGCTGGTGCCTGATGCCAGTGTCTACCTAGAGATTATGACAGAAAACCTGGAGGTCTGAGATCCAAATTGCAGCCTCAGCTCTGTCAATCTGAGTGACTCTGGGTGTGCCCCTTCACCTATAAGGGACTCTGTTTCTTGACCTGTCAAGTGGAGCTGGTCCCCCTCAGCCCTGCGGGTCAGACAGGCTGTCAGAAGGGCTTCGTGTGCATGCGCACAGGCCACTATGCTCTGCCCCGTGGCTCTGGGCAACCAGGAACTGCAGACAAAAAACCAGGGTCTTCAGATCCCCTGCAGTGCCGACCTCACCCCCTGGAGCACCCCAAGGCAGGACTCCGTATCTCCCTGCCCCGATGGTCCAGTAGCCAGCAGGTAGGACTAAGGGTAGCCATCTCCCCAATCAGGGTTTTATATGAGGACACACCCCTCTTAATAGTGATGCCAATCGCTTCTTGGCCTTGTACTGATGCCACCCTGAAGGCATCGCTGAAGCTGGGTCTCGGGAATAAGCCAGGAGCCTCATCCCAGGACCAGGGTCCATGCGGACCCCTTTGGCTGAAGCCTGCACCAGTCTTGGCTGATGGTAGGGGTGGGGAAGGCAAACACTAGTTGCTGCGCACTTGACTGAGCAGGACCCAGGGCTGACCTTCCTCAGCGGCAAGGGAGAGGAAGCAGGTTGATGGTCAGGGACTCGCGGCCAGACCCCATTTTCCTCAGTTTCCCTGGTGGTGGGACATTGCTGGAACCCGGCTTTCCCGTTTGGTGGTCCTTGGTGTCAGGAAGACTTCCTGGCTGAGGTTAGAGGCTCCCATAGGTGTGGGGCAGGGCTGACGCCTGCCTGAGGCCAGACGTGGGCACGGGAGAAAGAGAAACAATACTCGAAGAAGCAGTCAGACACTGGTTGGGACACCTGCACCTTGAGGGTAATTTGGAGGCAGGAATGGGTGGTGCAGAGACTCTGAGGCCAAATCTTGTCTGTGCCATTTCCCTGTGTGACTTTGGCCGATTTACTTAACTTCTCTCTGCCTTAGTTTCCTCTGCTATAAAATGAGGATGATAATAAGTGGTGGTCATCCTTTGGAGGGTCTTAGAAAGATCAAATGCTTGGATATGTATAAAGCCCCCTGGCCAGTGCCTGCCCCCAGGAAGGGCTCTAAGGGTGATTGAGCAACAGAGAGGGAAGGACCTAAGTCAGGCGGCAGGATTGGGCGGGTTGTCACTGCCTCTGTCTAACCCTCAGCCTCTAGGTCCAGTCATCACCAGTTGTACCTCCAAGAGGTTCCCATTTTCTTCAGACCTTCCCTCCAACTCCCACATCTCTCTGATCGAACACACTGGTTCAATCCCAAGGACTCCTCCTTGTCCCCCAGCCTCTGGTCCCTACTGCCCAGATGACCGATTCAACACAGGGGCCTGACCCCATTCAAAACCCATTGACTCCCACTGGCTCAGGATGAAGCTCCATCCAGCTCCTAGGAAGGCTCTGTGTGCTTTGCCGGACCCCTGACCCCACCCCATCCCACTGCCCCTTTTATAGGCCTCCTTTCTTGCTCAGGTAGTTTCCCCGTCAACAATCTGGACAGCTCTCTTGTCCACAGCTCAAATGCTGTTTCTCACCTCCACACCTCTGCTCATGTGGCACCTTCGGCCTTTCCTTACTCCATTTGCCTAATTCCTCCTTTTCTAAGCGCTAACTTAGTGTCCTCTTTTCACCCCAAGTTGGGCTAAATGACCTCTCATCCCCGTTACATATTTATTGATATATATCTTCCACACGGCGACCCAATTACCTCTCACAAAGTCAATTTGGAATTCCCTGGTTCTTGCTGCCACACTAAGGGCTGGCACAGTGCCCAGGACTGTTGAGAATCGAAAACTACACTGACTGCTATTAAAGATTCCAATGGTCAATTTTTATGGGAACATACAGTCTCCACTTTGTTCTACAGAATGGCTGCTGGATTTGAATTGCCAACCTTTTTGCCCAATCTTTTACCCACAGCACCACATGGATGGATGGATGATGGATGGATAATGGATGGATAGATGGATAATGGATGGATGGATGGACAGACAGTTGCATGGACAGATGATTAGTGGGTGAATGGGCTTGTTTTTCTAGTTAGTGACCATGTCGTCAGTGTGGGTGGGTGCAGTGATTATTGCAAGTGCCCAAGGAAAGCCACGAGGCCTAAGGAATGACGGACTCTCTAAGGGTGGAGCTACAGGCATCTCGGCAGAATTGGAACGAGAGCTGCACTGTGTAGGGAACACTGCTTTAAGCATCTCAGTCAGTCAGAATTGGCAAATACGTGTTGCATACCTACTATGTGCTACTACTGTGCAGCTGGTGGGGACCCGTCTCTGCTCCTACCCTGAAGGAGTTTGTGTAACCTGGAGATTCAGGGGCCCTGCTGCACACCTTGGTCCTGGCCCCCCGTACCCTGCTCCTTTCCCACTCCCTGTCTTCCAGAGTTTGAGGGACTCTTGGGGCCAGTGATTGGGGAAAAAACTGCCCAGAGAGGGAAAGAGATTCACCTGATCCCAGCCAAGTGTTCCCATCCCTGCCTCACACAGCTGCTCTGTAGAGTCTCTTAGAGGGTGGGGGTGGGGGTGACCTCATCATCCCCTCCTCCTTGGGGTCACCCAAACTCTGGTCACTTTATGAGTTATCTGGCTCTCGAAACTGGCTGGACCCCCAGCGGGTGGAGCAAGAGGTACTGCCAGGCCATCCATGTCTAGACAAGGCCCAGGATGAGGTTTAATAGGATCCAGGCCTCCCTCTTCAGTCCTTTCGGTCAGATGACTTATGAATCCCTGCTTCCCACCCACACTCCATCCTGTTCTTCCAGCTGGGAACACAAGACCTTGGAGGCGCTCTAACCCCAAATACACCCCTTGTTGTCTTCTCGGAGATCCCCACCACAGAACACTGCCTCTGGGCTTCCACAACCCTTTGTGTTGCCAAGATACCAGAAGAGGCCCTTCAGGCAGGGTCACACAGAGATAGTTACTCTTCTTGGCAGAAGGAGTAGTCACTTGACAACAGTTGAGAGGATGTGGAAATGACTTCAGGCAAGAAAAGGCAAAAAGATTGGGATGTTCCAAGGGGTAAGAGGGAGTAGAGCAGGGGAGAGCATGATGTTGGCCCCCCCAAAGTAGATTTATAGGGCCAAATAAACAACCTTCCCGCTGAGGATCTCACTGAACAGCTTGTGGTCTTCAGAGCATGCTCAGGAGTCCCTAAAAGGCATCCCTGGGAAGCAGACAAGGGCACCACTGCCCAACTTTAAACAGAATGATATTAATAATCACTCTGTCCCAAGTCAGCTCAGTTAGCCTTCCCACTCCATGAGTTCAGAAAGGTTAGGTAAGGATCCTAAATCACAAGACTGAGGCATGATCCCAAATTTGGTTAGCCCCACCATCAGAGCAATACCCTCTCAGTTCTCCATAGAAGCCCACCTGTGCCAGGCCATGACCAAGAATCACCCAGCTGGGGGAATGGGATCTCCAGCTTTTAGAAGCTTCCCGGTACCTTTAATAGGTATCCTCACTTTCTGTCACCAACCTCTCTTTCCACCCACCACAATGTCCTCTCCCACCTGCACCCCGTAGAGGTGGGATGAGAACCTGGCCAAACTTGCAATGGACTACGCGAAGCTGTGTGTGTGGGCCCACAACCCTAAACGCGGAAGGCTCGGCGAGAACCTGTTTGCTATCGCGGGTGACAGCTTGGACATGCAGATGGCTATATCTGAGTGGCACCGGGAGCAACATTTCTTCAACTTCACCACGGGCTCCTGTCAATCTGGACAGATGTGCGGCCACTACACACAGGTGCACAGTGGGCTGGGTAGGGCCCGGATGGAGCCATGAGTGCAAGGGTGGGGCTTGGGGCAGGGAGCTCAAAGACAGGAGCTGCTGGAGCTGGGGCTCCAGCTGGACCATGGGGGCAGAGGCTGGGGACATGGTAGCAGGGGCATGGTAAATACAACGCCCAGTCTTCTTGTACTTTTGGTTTGTAACTCCTTTTTGTCACTCCTATATAATTTAAAAGGAGCCCGGGCAGCATAGATGAGACTTTCTACTCCAGTAAACAGTTACAGTCTCAGAAACCCAAAGGGGGCAGTTCTATCCTGTCCTATAGGGTTACTGTGTGTTGGAATCGACTTGACAGTAAGTTACTTTTGGGGTTTAAAGTGTAAAGTCATAAAATTTAATATAAAGCATATAAAGGTTGAGGAGCTGTGTGTATGTATATCATTCTTACTAAGTTGGTATTGTACAAAGTAGGGCGTTACATATTGAAGGCATTAATTATAATCCAAAGGTAGCCACTAAGAAAAATACTGAAAAATATATCCACAAAAAGAAAGAAGGGAATCAAAACAATATACTATAAAAATGCAACTAAATATTTTTGTAAGCACAGTAATAGAGAAATCAAGAAACTTAAGACATCTAAGGAACAAATAATTAAATGGCAGAGGGAAATATCACCTCTGTAAACATTTTGCATATAAATGGCTTAAATTCTATTAAATGTCAGAGGAAACCAGCCTCCAACAACTGAAGGGCCAATAAGTGCAATTGTATGGCCATAATATATAAAGATTACAGTAAAACCATAGAGGATAGAGAGAATACAATAAAGGAGTCAGACACATTTATGGTAGCATGGTCACCTCAGCCCCTCTTGATGGTCCACGTGGAACTGGGAGAAGAGAGCGAGCCTTTACTTACTTGGGACATTTATAGGTAGCCTAAGACATGCATATTCAGTAGATACATCTGTCACATGGTGGGCGATACCTACATTAAGGTCCCTGAGTTCATAAGTGAGGAAACCTAATACCTGCACTGGGGGAAGGTTGGAGTGGGATTGGGTGACAAGGCTGGAAGAGAACAAAAGGATGTGTGCTTCTATAGGTAGATATAATCAACCATGTGCTCACTTTAAGGCAGCAGAGTTGTTAGGGGAGAATCTGTAGGAACGATATCTAAAGCAGGAAAATGTACTTGGACTTTATCTATTACTTAACAAAGTGGAGGCTTTCCTACCTACCGTGGAATACTAGCTTTCCAGATTCTCTCTGTTATAAGTTAGGGAATCTAGTACTCGTCATATTTCCCTCAGTGTTAGTTTCCCACAATTAAGAAGCAGAAAATGGCAGATTGGATTTTTTTAAAGGACTGGTGTATGTACTGTCTACAAGAAACACCCTTTAGATACAAAGGCACAAAGATGTTGAAAGTGAAACGATTGAAAAGGACATCCCATCAAAATAGCAGCTAAAAGAGCACTAGTGTAGTTATATCCTCATCAGACCAAATAAATGAGACAATACCAGAGACAAAGAAGAACATTATGAATTAATAAAAGCTTTCATTCAGCATCCCTAACAAACCAAAACTCAAACCCACTGCCATAAAGGTGACTCTTACTCATCATGACTTTACAAGACAGAACTGCTCCTTGCAGTTTCTGAGACAGGCAGTCCTCAGTCTCAGCATTCTCCCTTGGAGTAGATGGTGGGTTTCAACTGCTGACAAAGTTCACAGTCCAATGCTTGACCCCCTTTGCCACCAGGGCTCCTTTCCCTAACAGCAGAGCCCTGAAATAGATGCATCATCAAGGAACAGACTTGAAGAGCAAAATAGTTTCACAACAATACATGGAGACTTAGCAACACCTGGCTTTTAATAATAGGACAATCAGATCAATAAGGAAATGGAAAGATTTGAATAACACTATTAGCCAATAGATTTAACAGACAAAAACACTACCCAACCCTAACAACAGAACACACATTCTTCTCAAGTGCACATGGAACATTCTCTCGCACTCACTCCTGCTGCCATCAAGTGGATTCTAACTCACAGCAACCCAATAGGACAGCGTAGACTTTCCCCTGTGGTTTTCTAAGGCTGGAATTTTTACAGGAGTAGAGAAGCCTCATCTTTCTCCTACTGACATTTTCTAAGATAGACCACATGTTAGGTAACAAAACAAGTATTTCCCTCTCTTTCATCCATTGAGTCTATTCCAACTACTAGTGTCCCTATAGGATAGGTTAGGACTGTACTTTTGGGTTTCCAAGAGTGTAATTTAAAAAAATACTATTTACTGTGTTTTCAATGGAGATTTACACAGTACTTTAAGTTCCCATTCAATAATATCTACATAGGTTGTTCAGCAACATTGGTTACATACCCCAGAGAGTGTGAACATTCTCATTATTTCTCCATCGGGTTTTCTCTTTTTGATGGCTTACGTTTTTAAAAGTAGTTTTATTGGCATAGATATATATCACACCATTCAATCATTCTGTCATATTAAGAAGATCTGTGCAATCATCACCACAACCAAGATGGAACATTTTTCCCTCATAATTACTGTTGTTAGCCCCCCCATCCTTCACTGCCATGTCCATAGGCATGTATCAATCCAGTAACTGTCTATAAATCTACAGAAAAAAAAAAATCTACAGAAAATCATGCAAAACACCAACAGGAAACAAACAAATAAACCCAACAACACTAACAATCCATAGAGAAACCTCAACTAAAAAGAAAGCAAAAAATATTAAAAAACTGAAATAACTTTAACATGGATCAAAAGGAAATCCAATGGTAAGGTGTTATTTTAACCTAACGACATCTGCCATAACAGACTTTACAAAGCTCTCTGTCCGATAGCAAGCCTGTGCACATCCCTCAACTATGCTCTTTGTGGGCGTCGGAAACCTTGACCTTCTCCTGAGGAGCCGCTGTTGTTTTCTAACTGCTGACCTTGTGGTTAGCAGCCCAAACAAGTCTCAGTTACTTACAAATATTGAATTCAACCCATTTTTTTCATTATCATATGAACCCAAATCAGAAATCACCAACAGATTAATCGATAAATCCACTTAGTAAAGAAAAATGGATATGTCACAAATAGTATAAACGCATCCTTAAACAAGCAATGGGTCAAAGAATAAATCGAAAAGGAAATTCATGAGATACCTTGAGGAAAATGAAAACACAACATACCCAAAGTAATGGATGCAGTGAAAGCAATAAAAACCCAACCCCTTGCCCATACAGTCTATTATAGGATGAATAGCATTTCCGCCAGGGTTTCCGAGGCTGAGAACCTTCATGGCAGCAGATCGCCCCAGCTTTGTCTCTCAGAGAAGCTGAGGGTTCCAATTGCTAATCGGCCAGTTAGTAGCTGAGCTCTTAATGGCACCACCAAGACTCCCGAGAGCAGCAGTTTATCACAGTAAAGTCTACACCAAAACAAGCCTCAGACCAATCACCTACGGTTACAACTTAAGGAACTAGAAAAAGCACAGCAAGTCAGACCCAAAGGTAACAGAAGGAAATAAAAAAGGGACAGCGTGCAGATAAGCAAAATAGAAACACACTGGAGACACCAACAAAC